AAAAAAGACGTCGCTCCGTGTTGGCTTTCCCCTGAGAGAAGCGTTTTGCAGGGAAGGCGAACAGAGGCATCTCTGGCGGGTGGGTCCTCACCTGACTTCTCCATCCCTCTCTTCCCAGGTCGAGGAACAGGTCATGCTGCCCGATGACCAGGCTGACCACAGGCAGTGGACGCAGCAGCATCTGGACGCAGCCGACCTGCGCATTTCCTCCATGGCCCCCACCCCACCCCAGGGGGAGATTGACGCCGACTGCATGGATGTTAACGTTCGAGGGCCAGGTAGGACATGAGCCTCTGGGTCTTTGGCACGAGAGCGAATGATGGACAGCTGCAAGATCCAGTCGGTAGCCTGGATTCTGGAAAAGGTCCCCCCCTCCCAAGCTCCAGGTGGCCTCAACCCTGCCTGCCTTCCTTGTTTTTAATTTATTTTATTGCCTTTCATAATATAAGATCCAAATGAAAGATCAAAGACAACAGGGAAATGGGGAGGAGGAAAGAAAGGGTGGGATAGGGTGAAAAAGAATAAAGAAGCAGCAAAATCCAAATTTTTGGAGCACGGTAGAATAAAAGTTATAAGGTAAAGCCTCCACTTTTTATTTTTACATACTTAGTATAGACTAGCCATTTCTATAACAACAGATCTAAATCAAACTTGCATTTTTCCTGCCCGAGCACAAAGTCTAGAAGGAGTTTCTAAGCAGCAAAAAAAATTAAATGTATTACTTTTTTTAATTATTAAAACAGTGGATTTGCCCATATCCGCCTCCTCCACCCAGCCATTCCTCCATTTTGGGGATTAATATGTCTTTCCATTTTTGCACCTAAAGAATTCTTGCTGCAGTCAGCAGGTACAACAAATTCCACATTTTTTCCAAGTTCCTTGTCCAGCAGTCCAGTCCTGCCTTGTCTTTCAAAAGACCCAGGAGCTCCTTTTAATTATATCAGTGGTCTTCCAGTGTTGATGTTTTGATTGTTTTATTATTTGCTATTTAAAAAAAAATTGTTAGCCACCCTGGATTGTGTGGTGAGTGGGTGACCATCTAAATCGCAGTAATAATGAGTGGAGCTGCCTAGTGAAAAACCACAACATGATCTGTGTGTTCTTATCAGGGTGCTGGTTTCACATTTGGGGGGGCTCCTTTCCTTTATCTCTGTGGCAGGAAAGTGCAGTATAAGTCTGGCCAGTATCACAATAGGTCTAAATTGCAGACTTGGGCAAATAGGAAAAAATAAATAAATAGAGGTCCATGGAGCAAAGAGAGGGAGATAGATAATGAGAGCAACCTGGATGATGGACTCAGTTGCTTCACAAAATGCTTCCTCTTGGAACAACTGAGCATGGAGTCCCATTTCGTTCTGATTCTTCCCAGGTGAAGTGCTTTTTTTTAGTTCTTGTGGCATTGTGCCGGACAAAACCAAAGGATATTATTTATTATATTATATTATATTATATTATATTATATTATATTATATTATATTATATTATATTATTATATTATATTATTTATTATATATTACATTACATTATACTATATTAGAGTAGAGTAGAATAGAATAACAGAACAGAATAGAGTAGAGTAAAGCAGAAGAGAAGAGAAGAGTTGGAAGGGACCTTGGAGGTCTTCTAGTCCAGCCCCCTCCTCAAGCAGGAGAACCTATATCATCTCAGACAAGAGGCTGTCCAGTCTCTTCTTAAAAACCTCCAGTGATAAAGCACCAACAACCTCTGGTGGCAAGCTGTCCCACTGGTTAATTGTCCTCGCTGTGAGGAAGTTTCTCTTGAGTTCCAGGTTGCTTCTCTCTTGGATTAGTTTCCATCCAGTTTTTCTTATCCAGCCTTCTGGTGCTTTGGAGAAGAGGCTGAACCCGCCCTCCTCTTCTTTTTTGTGGCAACCCCTTAGATCAGGAGGCTCAAACTCAAGGCCCATGGGGTGTTTAGCTCTGGCCCATGGGGCTGCCCTGGAAATAGTGAAGGACCGGCCCGCGGTGCCTCTACCAGTGAAAACGGGGCCGAGGGCTGCAGGAAGATCCCCCCCAACCCCACCTGGGCCACCACAGGTGTCCCCTGGCACGAGTGACATCAAGCTGGCCACGGCCACCCCCGCTGTGCCCCTCCTCCCCCCCCCCCCCCAAGGTCAAAGACAACCCTGATGCGACCCTCCATGAAATCGAGTCCCCAATTCCCCAGCCGGCCTGTCCTTCCGGCTGCAGTGACTGATGGCTTCCCCTTCCTTCTTTGGCCAGATGGATTCACGCCCCTGATGATCGCCTCCTGCAGCGGAGGAGGGCTGGAGACGGGCAACAGCGAGGAGGAGGAGGACACCCCGGCTGTCATTTCGGATTTCATCTACCAGGGAGCCAACCTGCACAGCCAAACGGACCGCACGGGAGAGACGGCTCTCCACCTGGCCGCCCGTTACGCTCGCTCGGATGCTGCCAAGCGGCTGCTGGAAGCCAGCGCCAACGCCAACATCCAGGACCACATGGGCAAGACGCCCCTTCACGCAGCCGTGTCTGCAGATGCCCAGGGCGTCTTCCAGGTCAGCAGACGCCTCTGCCCCCCTCCTTCCTACCAAGTGGGGGCGGGGATTTATTTTTTTGTTTTGTAAATCTTTTATTTTATCTATCTATCTATCTGTCTGTCTGTCTGTCTATCTGTCTATCTATATCTATCTATCATCTATCCTCTATCTTTCTATCATCTATATCTCTATCTATCTATCTCTATCTCTATCTCTATCTCTATCTCTATCTATCCATCTATCTACCTACCTACCTACCTATCTCTATCTCTATCTCTATCTCTATCTATCCATCTCTCTCTCTCTCTCTCTCTCCCTACCTACCTACCTACCTCTGTCTGTCTGTCTGTCTGTCTATCTATCTATCATCTATCTATCTATCTATCCATCCATCCATCCATCCATCCATCCACCCATCCATCCATCCATCCATCCACCCATCTAAAAGCGAAATACCATTCACGCATCATCACAACATCTCCAGAACCGTAAAGCCTACAAATGTGAAATTTGGCCTGTATGTTCCTCTTGGCTTCTAGGTGCTCACTAAGAAAGGATTTTTCGAAATGGCCATCAGAGCATTTAGAGTATTTCCTATATTATTATTACTATTAACACGCTCTGATTCTAATGAGTTCTACTCCGCCTCCCCACCTGAAAAGAAATCTCTTCCAAATGCAAAACACAAGCAGAGGAGTTTCAGTTTCAATTTTAGTCTCACAGCAGCAAGCAGCTTTAGTAGAGAACAGTTGAGCTAAGCCACACCCAGGCTTCTTGCTGTCTCCTTGCTCACACAGCAAATACTCTTTCAGTTTCCAAACACCCCTCCACTCTCTCATACACTGACAGGAGGCTAGCCAGATGAATACTGATGTCTGTTGGTAGGCAGAGGCAGAATTCCGCCCCTCCCTTATTTTCCTCCCAAAAAACTAAGCCCAACCACATAGTTTCGTAGCGAAGCACGGCTATTGAGCTAGTTTTTAATACAAACAATCCATCATCCATTAAGCAGTGTGCCAGCTGGGTACAGATATCTTGTTCAATAACAATTGAAATTTCCAGCAATAATCAGTGTCAATTCTCTACTCTTAGCTTATTACTGTGATACATAATATATCTAATTATTATAACAACCCTCAGCTTAGCTTATTTACCTCTATGAACCTAGTCTCTATATTTCACTAGTCTTCTTTTGTTTCTAACTTTCATATTTCTTCTCTAACCATCGATAAAACGATTCCCATATCCATATAATATTTGCTTTGTTCCTTCTCTTTAATCGCAACTGTTCACCTATTCATTCCTGCACATTCTAATATTTTCCTAATCACAGTCTCTCTTCAATAGGAATCTCTCCACTTTTCCAATTTTGTGCAAATACAATTCTAGTTGGGGTGCTTTATATCTCAGTCCTTTTGGCTATCTGCTAACCAAGGTGCCTCTTTCCCCCCCCCCCCCCCTCGATAGATCCTGATCCGGAACAGGGCCACCGACTTGGATGCCCGCATGCACGACGGGACCACCCCTCTGATTTTGGCTGCCCGCTTGGGGGTGGAAGGCATGCTGGAAGATCTCATCAGCTGCCATGCCGATGTCAATGCTGTGGATGATCTAGGTCAGTGGTGGCTAACCTTTTGGGGCTCCTGTGCCCAAAATTGCGCGTGTGCTCGCGTGCCGGCACCCAGAAGGCAATGCGTGCTACTCCCCCTGCGCATGCGTGTGTGAGTCCCCCGCTGCTCCCTTACCTGCACTGCGCCTCCCAGCTGATTTTCAGGCCGTTTGAGGCCTTTTTTTGGCCACCCAGAGGCTCGAGGGAAACCTCTGCAGCCTTTGTAGGCCGAAAAATGGGCCCGTTTTGTCACTTCTGGTATTTCCGGAAATACAGGAAGTGACAAAACGGGCCTGGTTTTCGGCCTACAAACGCTGCAGAGGCTTCCCTCGAGCCTCTGGGAGGCCAAAAATGAGCTGGGAGACGTGTGCGTGCGCAGTGCAGGTAAGTTTGCCTGGGGCTTGCATGCCCGCACAAATGGCTCTGTGTGCCACAGGCTCGCCATCACAGATCTAGGTACCCGTGGGCCCCGCAAGCCTCCCCTGACAGGTCAGCCAAAGGGAGCTGCGGAACGGCCTGCTTACTGTCTCCCCTCTTCCTTTTCCCCTCCAGGGAAGTCTGCCCTGCACTGGGCCGCAGCCGTGAACAACATGGACGCTGCCCTGGCGCTGCTGAAGAACGGTGCCAACAAGGACATGCAAAACAACAAGGTCAGTTCAAGTCTGGGCTGTGAGATACCCCCTCCCTCCGACTTAATGGAACTGCCTTGGCTCAGTTCCTCCCTCTTCTCCCAACACGGCCCGTAAAGTTTTTGTTGGGAGGGGGGACGGGAGTGAAAACGGCCAAGGGTCTCATGGATGGTAGAGAGGGAGGGACATGAGCTGGACAGTGATGGGCCAAAGGACCAAAAGGTGGCTCAAATCCAAGGCGAGGCCACGGGGAAGCCTGAGGGATTCAGAGGAGGGGGGGAGCCTGACGTCCCGCTTTCCTGTCTTTTAGGAAGAGACGCCCTTGTTCCTGGCGGCCAAAGAAGGCAGCTACGAAACGGCCAAAGTCCTGCTGGACAGCTTTGCCAACCGCGACATCACCGATCACATGGACCGCCTGCCCCGGGACATCGCCCAGGAGCGCTTGCACCACGACATCGTCCGCCTCCTGGATGAGTACAACCTGGTGCGGAGCCCCCCCATGCACAACGGTGGGCCTCTGGGGGGCCCCACCCTCTCTCCGCCCCTCTGCTCGCCCGGCAGCTACCTGGGCAACCTGAAGCCGGGCCTACAGGGCAAGAAGGCCCGGAAGCCAAGCACCAAAGGGCTGAGCTGCAACGGGAAGGAGCCGAAGGGCCTCAAGGCCCCCCGGAAGAAGTCGCAGGAGGCCAAGGCCTGCCTGCTGGATGGCTCCGGCGTCCTCTCCCCGGTCAACTCCCTGGAGTCTCCACATGGCTACCTGTCGGATGTGGCCTCCCCGCCTCTGATGACCTCCCCCTTCCAGGCCTCCCCTGGCATGTCCCTCAACCACCTGCCCGGAATGCCGGACGGCCACCTCAGCATCAGCCAACTCAACCTGGTCGGCAAGGCAGATCTGGGCCCGATGCAGCCCTTTGAGCAGCCGGGGGGCCCTCCTCGCCTCTCCCACCTGCCCGTCTCCAGCGCCAGTGCCCTCCTGGGCAGAGCCTCGCTCAACTTCACCGTCGGCGGGAGCCAGTGTGAGTGGCTGAACCGCCTGCAGAACAGCCTGGTGCCCGGGCAATACAACCCGCTGAGGAGCGCCCTCCCGCAGGGCACACACCCAGCCAGCCAGGCCCTGCCCCATGGGCTGCTGGCTTCCCTGCACAACAGCCTCCCCGGCACAAATCTGGCCCCCATGATGGCCTACCAAGCGGTCCCCGGGGGCCTCCTGCCCGGCCACTCCCAGCCACACCTGCTGCAACCCCAGCAGCCGCAGCAGCAGCAGCAGCAGCAGCAGCCGCCCCCTCCGCAGGGCCACGGCGGGGCCACGAACACTGCCCCCCAAGTGGGTTCCAGCTTCCTGGGGAACGAGCTGAGCCAGGCGGAGCTGCAGCCAGCAATGAACAGCGGTGCTTTGGCAGTCCACGCCATCCTGCCCCAGGACACCCAGGTGCTGGCGACCTCCCTGCCCCCCGGCCTGTCCCAGGCTCTGGGCACACCCCAGTTCCTGACTCCGCCTTCCCAGCACAGCTACCCCTCCCCCATGGACCACACACCCAGCCACCCACTCCAGGGGCCCGACCACCCCTTCCTCACGCCCTCGCCGGAGTCGCCGGACCAGTGGTCAAGCTCCTCCCCCCATTCCAATCTCTCAGATTGGTCGGAAGGCATCTCGAGCCCGCCCACCAGCGTGCAGCCCCAGGTGGTGGGGCGCATCCCGGAAGCTTTCAAGTAAAGGGGGGAGCTGGTTGCACCTGAGCTGCCCTATAAGATGGCTGAACTGGAGAAATCCCTTTTTTCTTCCTCTTTTTTTTAAAAAAAAAATATTTTTGCATACATTGTAAGTTGGAAACTTCACCGCGTTCTTCCTCTTCTTGTAGTATTTATTTATGTACTTTTATGTGAAAACACTGCCGCTTTATTTATATGTTGTGTTAAGAATTCCATGGGCTGCATTTACTATTCGAAGAAATAGAAGGATCTATTAACGGGGACTTTTTGAAATTGACATCTTCTTTTTTTAAAAAACCAAACATTTGTATCATGCTTTTTTTTTTTTTTTTGGCCTGGAGAAACATTTCTTCTGTAAAGCTACAATCAAAGATCCATAATTGTAAAACGACACGTATTTATTGATCAGGATATTTTTTTTTCCTGTTCATTTTTAAAACAGAATTTTAAAAAGGGGAGGGGCAATTTTGTTTTTGTTTTTTTAAATGTACCTATATGAGGAAAAAAAATAATTTAAATATAAGTTGATGGTTTATTTTTTAAAGAGCGCTTTAAAATATTCCCTGGGTGTTGATGATGTAGACATATAGGCGTATCGGCTTTCTACATCTGGATGCTTCTAGGTGTCTTAGATTCCCTCCCAAAATTCCTAGCCATCGTGGCAGGTGGGAATTCTGGGAAAGAGTATCCGATACACCCTTGGGCTGCCCAAGCATATTTGATAGAGGGCAGATTTCTCCGACCTTGGCAACTTGAAGGGGTGTCAACCAATTCAAACTGAATTCCACCCATCTTAAAGCATGCTGGCTAGAGTGAAAGTCCAAGGCGGAGAAAAACTGATATATATGGATCGTGAACCTTTTTTTATTAAAGTTTCAGTATTACATAGTTTCATCCATCTTTTTTGCATGAAAGCTGAATGTTTTCCTTTATTTATTTTAAATAACTGCCTGCGATCAAAAACCAGGATTTGAGATTTTAAGCTACAAATGGATTTCCAAAAATGCTTCTCTCCTCTCTCTCTCACCCAACAGATGTGCCCTTCTTGTTGCAGATGTTTAAAAAGAAAGGGAAGCCTGCAAAGATTGAGCGTAGAATAAGAAAGCCATGCCTTGCGTTTTTGTTTTTTTAAACAAGGCGGTTGTGATCCTAACTCAGTCCTGGGCACTGTACCTAAGAACAGTCTTGAAGGAAGGACAAAGTTAACAAGAAGAGATGTTGAGATAGCTCTGAAGAAAGGTTGAAGGTCTTTTGGAAAACCCAGCTTGTCATCTCCATGGGACTCCTGCACAGGAGCAAGACGATGTTGGCCTAGAACCCATCAAGAGATGGAGATGCCATTTTCATAGAAAGGCAAGGATTGGGAATCTCTTTCCAGTGCTTGCCTTCTATGTGGCAGTGGATGATGGTAGACCTGGAGGTTAGGGAAAGCCCCCAGGTTGGGAAAACTAATGGAGGTTGGGAATGAAAAATGGGGGACGGGTTTCCATGCATTTAAAACTCTTCGGAGGTTCTCTATCATCCTGGTCATGGCTGTCCCAAGGGTGCATTTTTTTTCCCCAAAAGGTAACTGGACTTTGAAGACATTTCACTTCTCATCCAAGAACCTTCTTCAGTTCTGCTTCATTGGGCAGAAACGTTAGTATGAATGGATAGGTTGGCACCGAAGGAGCTTCTTGGGTGAGAAGCAAAATGTCTTCAAGGAAAAACCAAGTCTAATTACCTTTAATAAAAATAAATCAACTTTGGGACATGGATTTAAAGGGTTCTGCCCTTCTAGGGACAGGCACTATAGAGGGAAAATTATCTTCATTGACCAAAGTCCAACTTCTTCTGCCAGTCTCCTGGCCTCCAAAGCGCATTCATGAGCTAGGTCAGTGTCTTGAAGCTGTGGGCATTGTGGATTAAAGACTGTCTTTAATCTGTGTTGCATCCCTCCACGCAGCTGGAGAAGACTGGGCACCGCTTCAAATTTGGGGTTTCCAGAAGGGCAAACGGGGGGTCCTTAGCAGGCTGGCAGCTGGAAGAAGCCACTGTTGAAACCACAAGGATGTGGCTTAGCAAAAGCTCGCCACAACTTGACTACTGTTTGATAGCATCAACTTCTACCCAATTCCAGAAAGCCAAAATCCCTGCATTTGATTGCAGGAATCCACCTAATTCTCATGACAGAATTGCCATCAGAAAGCAGGGGTGGGGGGGAATCCGTTTTTGTCCTTTGGCGGAAAGAGCCGCCTGCTTTTTCGGATTGGCACCTCTGGGTTTGCGATGGTTGTATTATTCTCTTTTAGAGAACGGCGCCAGCCTAGCAGGCGGAGCAGCTGAATTTGTATACAAATATATATATATATACAGTATGCGCCTATGGCAAAGCTAATGTTTTGTAAATATACGGAGTCTTTTTTTTTATATATACATAAAACGATATGGGTGGATTTTGTTTAAAAAATCTAAATGGTTAAACGGAAAGAAAGCATTGCACTGGTGGAGGTTGTTGAAAATATTGCTCAAGGGAAGAATAAAACCAGCTCAGCTGGTGAGGTTGCAAACCTGTGCTACGTCCTTTGGAGTAAATGCGACATGAACGCCTTTGGTCTAGTCATTAGTTGATTAACCATTCAAAATTAGACTGAAAACGGACCCACGGCCTCACACTTTGTGAAAGTCCCAGGGGCTCTGTGAGCATAATTCAGGCACTTTGCAACCAGCCCATGTGGATGGATGGTTGCAGTGTCCTGAGGTCACAAGATGGATTTACTCAATGACCACAGTGATTCACTGAATGATGGCAAAAACAAAATAAAACCCGGTAAAATTGGAGATAACTCGGTGAGCACATCGCTTAGGAATGGAAGCTATTCCGGTCCCAATTATAGTTGTAAGTCGAGAATTGCTTTCCAAGGAACATCTCCTGAGATTTGCCCAGGTAGGACTGATCTGTAGCTGCATTGGCATCTTAGGGCAAGATGGTACATATTTTCATGAACTGTAACCCTGGGGAAGATGTTCTTGTCAGTTCAGATGTTGAACACACTGGCACCCTCTCTTGTGGGAATCTGATCATTTTCCAAGCTTCTTTTTTTGCTCTGGAGACCCTTTCCACCCTTAGGATAAAGGAAAGTGCTGGAACGTCTCCACAATGAGTGATTGTTAACACCCGCTTCTTGGTGTCAAATCTTTTTTATGTTTTTTATACAATAGACTGTAGTTTATAAGTCAAGAAATGTGGGAGATTAAAACAAGCAAACCTGTAATTAAAAAAAAAAGAACCATGCAAAATTGTAATTTGCAAAAAATGATGCCTTTTATTTTATTTTGTTACACAATTTGCAATAAACTATGTCAGTAGGCATTTAGCGTTGGTTGTGGTTTTACTTTTCTTTCAGATTAGATAATTTAATTCACGGAAGGAAATGTGTGGCATCTTTTCCAACATGGAAATCCTTAAAAGCACCCATCTTTTAATGACCGCATAATCCCATGTGGGGTGGCGTCTGGGCAACTGAATGGAGCAGAATGTTTACTGGCCGGATGCCCTTCCTGTCACCAATGTGGAGTTATATTCAGCAGATAAATTCTCATTGTGCCCAGAGAGAGGAATATCTGCCTCTACCTAGAATTGAACTCACAGCCTAATTGTGATGCGAGAGCTCCACCTCTAGGACACTGCACCACTCAAATCCTTAAAAGCATTTTTACATTCTTATTTCAGTGAGATAAAAAATTATTCCTCTATGTTGATTGTGAGAGATATTCCACAGAGCTCATTAAGGAAATACCTTTAATCAGGTTGACCAAAGTTCTACCAAGGTACTAGGCCTTTATAGTTTCCAGAAAACTTAATCTTGGAGGTTAATCATGGACAAGAATGAAACAGTTTGGAAAATGAAACTGATCTTGAAATCATCAGGTCACTCCACACCAGCTTATCTGTAAAACGGAGTGGTGACTTCAGCACTTCTGACATGCAAACTGGAACTTACCTGGCCCAAGTGTGTCAGGCTGCAAATATAATTTTTGTTGGGAAAAATCACAAGTAAATTTAACCCTATCCTATTTTTGGAAAATTTCCCAGCTATTACAAACCAGTGATTTTCATCCAATGGACAATTGGATCTTTTGACCCTGGAAAACAAAAGAGAAATTGATCCACGTTTACATAAAGTGACCAACTTTTTTACAGTGAAAAGGAGGACACAAATAAATTGAAGAAGAAAAACAAAGCCACTTGCGCGGGGCGCATTCTTGCACACAGTACACTCTCTCAAAACAATACTCCTGTGTGGAGCACATGCGTCCCATAAACATGTCTTGCCGCACTGTACCGAGCCTTGATGAATCGCCATGTCAAATACAAATACATCACATGACACACAACGGATTGGATCGGCATCGATTAAATACAGAAATTTACAGATTTGTCTTCAAATATCAAAAAGGAGGACATGGAGGAGGGTACTTTTCGAGGGAGGAAAGAACTTACAAAGGGAGGACTGTCCTCCCTAAAGGAGGACAGTTGGTCACCTTAGTTTACCCTAGTAAAAATCAACACCTGGTACTTTTACAGATACAACCATGTCATTTCTTTTTTACAATACAAAATAGCGTGCCATAGCCGCCTTTATTACTTTTCCAGTCCAGCCTGATATCCTGAGATTTTCAAAGCTTTATAAGTAGTAAATGTTAAGATTTGAACAAAAAAGTTGCCTCTTGAAGGGGAAAAAAAAGCACCTTTGAGACAACCAGGACATGGATGACTGAGAATCTCTACAGACACTAAACGAACTGTTGTAAAATTCAAGAATTCCTATTTAGGGTCTCCACCTTGCACTAGACCAGGCGTCCCCAACCTTGGCCAAGTAACATTTTATTTTTAGATAAGCAAGACAGTACAGGTACAAGGTAAAACAGTTCGCGATACAGTACGGTACGACACATTTAAGTACAATACAATACAGTAATACCATCTGTTGAAGAGCCCAACCTGCTCTTCAAGGCGATTGCTCACTATCAGTTACATCAGATATAATACAGACACTTCAAAGCAAAACAGACAGCCATTCCAGTCCTTTGTCCCATGCATATAACAGGTTGTAGCACTTGAGAGAGCCACCAATGGTCAGCAAACACATGTCCATAATGTCCCGGCAGCTCAAGCCCAAGGCCCCGACGGTTGATGGAACAGCCCTCTGTTGGAAATGACGACTGGTAAGTGGAAAACAGGGGTGGAGCAGCCCAACGACAGATG